GATAACAGTTGTATGAGCCCCTAATAAAATGTTAAAAAAGAAAAAAAAAAGAACCCCCACCCCCACCCCCCAGTCAATGGTGTCCCGCTTTAAATCTGGTCACCTTAGCGCTAACATCAAATGTTAACAAACTCAAGTAAGCATCTTCCCAAGTCACTAAAGTTTTGCAACCCTGCCAGGATACTGTCACCCCACATCAAACACACTTTTAGATGGGCTGTTTTAGGCAAGAGCAGGAAAACTTCAAAGATGAGTCAGGAAGAAAGACCAGCCCAACTATGGTTAAAGTTCAGAACAAATGGAAGATGACCATAGAATTACCACCAATTCGAAAGCTACTGAACTTGGGATTTCACGTGGTTCATTATTCCCAACTGTAAACATTTGGTCACAGCAAACTTTCAGTTTAATTGATGCCAAAAGTGCTGTGCCATCAGTTTGCCCAAAGAGCTAATCTTTCCATCAGCGAGATGGAAGATAATGACCACAATTTTAGAGAACAAACAGTAACTGGGATGGAGCCTTGGATTACCAACACAATACCAAGGACAAGGCCCAATGAAAGCAGTGATTTCCGAGGAGATCTGCTAAGGCTACATTGAAGGCAAGGGGTTAGCTCAAGTTACAGCGACTGCTGTGGGACCCCAAGGAGAGCAATCTTGATATACTTTCTCAAACTACAGAAGATAATCACTGCTGTTTATTAGGAAGAAGTTTTAAGAACACTGAAAACTACACTGGAGAGAGAAAGACTAGGAAAGTTGTACCAAGAATTTTCTTCCCTCATCATATGCCTACTCATTCTGATGGTAGCCGGGCTGCTGCCCTATGAGAGTACTGTTGACTAACTCCATCCCATTCACTCTCCTTGCCACTTCAAATGATCCCCCCCCAAAACTCAAAGAACATTTCAAAGGAACACTTTTGAGTCCCTTGAGGATCCCTGAATTGTCCCTGTGATGTGGTGTAAACCAAAGACCATAGAATTCTTCAGGGAAGGGTTAGAGAGAGGGAAACATCGTTCTCAAAGTGCACAGACCCAGGTGGAGAACATGTCAAAAAACAATAGCTTCACATTTGGATATTTTTGTTTAATAAAGGTTACTATGATTTTGTAGACGTTTTTGACTTACCTCATATTTAACATCTAAGACAACTATTCATGAAGACAGTAGGGCTAACATTTTTGTGAAATCCTGATTTATTCTAACCGTAATACACATCTATTGTTTTCATATAGCAGTGGCAACTATCAGGCTAACAAACCTGAAACGGTACATACTTCTTACAAAATCAAACTCTACAAGTCACTTAAAATTGATTGACTAGATCAATTATAGCTAAGCCAGCACAAAAGCCTAGATCCCAGATTTAAGAGAAGCAGGCACATGACATGGAAAAGACCACGAACCACATCCTATCTACATGAAGTCTATAGGGTTATTGTTTTTAACATTTTAAAATTTTGTTGGCCACATTTAAAAATCAAGAGACTATCCAGGTCTCCAACTTGTTTTAAAAATTGAAGATCTGGTACTACATCCTCAAACTGGATTATGCAGAGTAGCCAGCTACCCTTTTAGAAAGGACACACCCTCTCATCTTACTTGGATTTATGTAAGTGGGAAGTCAATGCTCCCAAGCAAATGCCATGTCTGTGACCCCATTACCTTTTCATATGCACAGGGATACTACGATGTAGCTAAGATGTAAGCAAAGGAACCATGCCAAGAAAACCATTTTCTAGGTAGTATTCAGTGAGTCAGGGCGATATCCGGATGTTATAGGGACAACAATCTTACAGAGTATAAGTCAGACACACCTATCCCAAGTGTTCTGATGAAGACTACATTATTCGCTCCACTCTCCACAGACTGGAATCTTCTTAGCCTCATCTCTGTAGATGCCCTAATGTCATCAACTTCTTTCTTCAAGGCAGCCTCCACATCATCGTCTTCTTCCTCGTTTCCCGAAGACTGCTGATTTGTGTCTGTAAACTGTTTGCAGAAGACTAATGAGCAGAAATGTCACAACACTGATTTTAAAACTATAATTAAGTGCTTACATGAAGCCCCCTGGGGCAGATGATTTAATATCAACAATAAAGCTTTTATTGAGAGACTGAGACACACTCTTTCCAAAACAGAGAGGAAGGAGCAAGTTCCCAACTGTGGCACGTAATAATTGAAAATATCTTCAAAAATATCTCATTTGTGTGACAGAAAAATATCATTAGATATCTTTGTGCCTTAGAAGTCAGGATACCCCCACTTTCAGTGAGAAAGACCAAATATTTATGGAATGCGAAACTTTTACTCTGGGATGTTTGAGGAACAGGGCATAGAAATAGTTCTATGGCACCACTATAGACAGGACAGGACATGCTGTCCAGTTCTTGGCCCAAATGGCACTGCCAATCTGGCATTATTAACAGTAACACATGTTTATGAGCATTTCTCAGTGCATGAGCTTTATGTACATTAGCTTCAAGGCAACTTTATAAAATACAGATTAAAAAACAAATACAAAACTAGTTTGGCAGAGTTAAGAAGCGTTTCCCCGGGGCTAGTTAATGACAGAGCCTGAATTAAAAATACCCATATGCACTTTCTTCTTCCACCTAATTCCATGTATGTATCGACCCATCTAAAACCAATCTGATTTCCAAACGGGGATGGGATGGCTAGGTGGCATAGATATGGCGCCTAGGTGGCACAAGTGGATTGTGACTGGCTGCTAGACTAAATGTTGGCAGTTCTCACACCTCGAAACTCTAAGAGGAATGTCTGGGAAACAGCTTCTTCAAAGACTACAGCCTTGAAAAGCCTATGGGGCAGATCTACTCTGGTATAGAGGGCCACCAAACCAAAAAACATCACCAACTCACTGTCAGCAAGTCCATTCTGACTCATAACGACCCTATAGGACAGGGCAGCCCTGGCCCTCTGGGTTTCTGAGACGCAACTCTTTATGGAAGGAGAGCCTCATCTTTCTCCAGGAGTGGCTGATGGGTTCAAACTGGTGATCTCCTGGTTGGCAGCCCAATGTATAACCACTACATCACTAGGGTTCCTTAGAAGGCTACCAGGATTAGGACATATTAGAAGGCAACAGGTTTGTGCTTTTTCGTTTTGCGGCACAATTTAAAAAAAAATTTTTTTAAGATGCCTTTTTACGTGCCCACTATTTCAGAAATACTGCTTAAGACTTGAGGAGCACTGGTAGCAGCGATGAAGCTCTCTGCTTCAAACCAAAAGGCAGGTGATTCAAATCCACCAGCCATTCCTGGGAGAAAGATGTGGCAGTCCACTCTGGTAAAAATTTGCAACGTTGGGAACCCTGTGAGGCAGTTCTACTATTCCTCCCTAACTCTCACTGCCATGGAGTCAATGCTGACTCATCGTGAGCCCCTGTGGGTTGAGACTGTAACTGTTTAGGAGAGTAGAAAGCCCAGTCTTCTGCTGTGGAGTTGCTGGGTTTCGAACTGCTGACCATGTGGATCTCAGCCCATTACACCACCAGGGCAACTATTCTGTCTTATTGATCTATTAAATTGGAATCCACTCAATGGCAATGTGGGGGTTTTGTTTTTGAGGGGTTTTTTTTTGTTGGTCCATTTATATGGTATTAATGGTTTGCACTGAACCACTAACCCAAAAGGTTGACGGTTCAGATGGACCAACTGGTACCACATCTGCAGAATAAAACTGTCTCACAGGATTTTCAAGGTTGCAGCAAACAGATCGATTGCAGTGTTACCTTCCAAGGTCCATCTGATGGATTTAAATGGCTAATCTTTCAGCTGGTTACCCGAGTGCTAACACTTGGGCATGAGAGGACTCAGATGGAAAGATATAGCAAACATCCTGAAATAAAGCTTGCCTTTGTGAACCTGAGCCCTCCTTAAGTGTTCGTGTACAGACCAGGGCAACAAAGCTAATATACCAATAAAGCGAGTTGCACATTTTTTGTTTCCCAACCCCAAAAACAAATCCACTGACATCAAGTTAATTCTGATTCGTATAAAGATTTCTTAGACTGTAAATCTTTACAGGAGCAGGCAGCCTCATCTTTCTTCCGAGGAAAGGCTGGTGGGTTTGAATCACCTACCATGTAGTTAGCAGCCAAATGCCTAGCCCAGCCATCAAGGCTCCCTTTTGGTTTTCGAGAGTACAGAAAATTCGAGCTTACACGGTACTGTGGCCTACTAGCGTAGCCTAGCACCGTGAAATACTGTGAGAATTCTACAAGTGAAAAAGGGGTGCATGTTGCTGGGAAAACTGTACTCCAAGCATGGTTGCCACAAACCTTCAATTTGTTAGACACACACATACAGTATCTGCGAAGTACAATAAAACGAGGTATGCCTGCTCACGAACACTACCTCACCAGATTGTTTTGAGGGCGCAGGTTGTACTTCTTGAGAATTTACGAACTAGATCAGACTGAGTGGATTCAGTCCCGTCTGAACCCACCTGCCGTTCTGCGGGAGAAAGACCTGGTGATCTGCTGTCATAAATTACAGCCCCAAACTACGTAGTTCTAACCTGTCCATAGCCTCACTGTATGGGAAATCAACTAAGCAACACGCAAAACGTTCGTGATGAAGGGGGTGGGGTTGGGATACAGGGCCCAAGGGGCAACCGTGGAAGCACAAGGCGAGCCAGATGTTCAAGGCGTCCACCGCGGAGTCAAGCACTCCGGAGGTCGTGCGCGCTGAGCGAGGCCTCGAAGCGCGGATCCGGCCCGGGGCGGAGTCCGTAGCCGGGGAAACGCAAGGCCGCCGACACCTAGCTTAAGGCCGCGCGCTCTCAGCGCCACAAAACGTGTTTCAGGGCGGCCTAAGAGGCAGCCTTCCCCGTCTCCCTCACGGCCCGCCTTGGCCCGCCCCTGGTTAGTACCTTTTCGGGCCCATACAGGTCGTCGCCGTATTCGTTGAGCAGGCTGTAGGCCTCCTCCACGCACTTGCGCTCGTTCATGTTACAAGTGATGAGGATGCCCTGCAGGCCAGGCTCCAGCTGCCGGGGCTTGCCGGCGTCCCAGCGCCGAGCCCGCTTAGCCTGCACGTACACGGCCTTCCCTTTGCGCTTCCCGCCCGCAGCCGGCGGCGGCGGCGGCTCCACAGGGGACGCCATAGTGGGCGCGAGCGGCCGAGGGCGAGAAACGTGCTTCCAGCAAGCTCCCGGCGTCCTCGCCTCTGCGGGCGCCAGCGGACGACGTCACGTCTGCGCGACGGCCTCGCGTAATCCCGCCTCCGAGCCGCAGTCCGTGCTTCGCGGGGTCCTAGCGCCTGTAGGCTTCCCGGGCAATGGGCGGGAGCCTCGCTTCTGCCCCGCCCCGCGGGGAGCTTGAGACGTCTTTTCTTGCTTCTCTCCACTTGAAGTTGTGGCCACCGAATAGTGGATCGGACGGGCCTATGGACCTCTGGTCTGCATCTAGCCAACTGGATATAGCTTGTGCATGCCAAGAATTCATTCCCTGAATGTGTATCAGTCATCTTGACGCGGTGGCAGTTGGTAAGTTAATGGTCACTGAGCGGGAATCTCCTCAAGGCCAGTGGCTTTGGGTTGTTTTTCAAAGTCAGGCCTGAGCGAAACAAAATACCGCGTCGGCCCACGTTGATTGCCCTTATAAACCGACCTTTCATAGATGTGGGCCTTCTAAACCATTGCACGTATTTCCTGCCCTTCTGGAAATAGGTCTTCAATAGATTTTCCTCACGTGTCCCTGTTGCATGACCCCAGGCAAGGGAAGAAACAGAGTATTCGGTGATAACAGAAAGACCTGATGATCAGAATGAGGCACATTAAAAACAAGAATCTTAATCTTAACAGTAAATTGCTCCGATGGGAACATTCACTTACTGCCCTGAAGTAGAGTCTGATTCATGGGGACCCTATAGGACAGGGTAGGGCTGCTCCTCTCTGGATATCTGAGACTGTGATTCTTCACTAAAGTAGAAACCCTGGTCTCTGTCCAGCAGAGAGTGGCAGGGATTTTCAAACTAACCATTATGCTTAGTAATGGGCTCCTAGTAATGGAAGCATTATATATTTTACATTACAAAGCCCACAGGAGCTGATCTACTCTGTCCTAAAGAATGAATCAGAATCAACTCCATGGTAGTGAGTGATTTTTAAAAAAAAGTGTTTCACCACACCTTTCTCCCCACCTCCTTCTTCCCCCCCTATACTGTCCAGAGCCATTGGCCCCATTTCCTCCACCTCCCGCCCCCACCTTCCCTCCCATGGCCAACCCATATAATTAGGCAACCAGCAATGTCCTACTCCGAACAATATGGAGACATGGTTGAAAATAGAAGAGAGAAAAAGACAGGAAAAATTAAAAAATAAGTGTTCTTATCAGTTTCTTGACATTTGTCAGGCAAGAAGCAACAGTAACATCATTCCAATGAATTGTCATTGTTGCAAGTGTTTCTCTCCCCTTAAAGTACACACAATTAGAAACCAACATTTTGGACAAACATCACACTTCTCCCTTTTGTACAAAATCATCCAAAGTCCCAAAATTGTAGAAGGGATTATAGTTGTAATCCCCATGAAAAAGTTATTTAATACATATGAAAGAATTTCAGGGGCCGGCCCCAATTCCAACTACTATGTGGACACCTGCCCCTCCCCCAGAAGAATTTATTTCAAAGGACTGCATTGAATCTGCAGCTCCGG